ACCAAAACAGCATGATGTGCTGACTTTTTGAATACATTTGAAAGAACAGAATATACCTTTCAATGCAGAGGAAAAGAACAGACATTGCTCTAGCACAGCGTCAAAGCCAAGTGAACTATAAAGCACACTTGGGTGTTTGCTGTGCAAATCACCAGGGATAATATCAAAACCTAAAAGTGATCCCTAGAAATCTGTTGTTAGTAGGAACTCCCTCACCCCCATTCTGGGGATTAAACCAGGGTCTCATGCATGCTAGGCAGTGCTCAACCACTGAACTACATCCTTGGTCCCATTTTATTTTTGAGACAAGGTCCTGCTAAATTGCCAATGCTGGCCTCAAACTTGAAATCCTTCTGCCTCAGCTTCCCATGTATCTGGGATTCCAGTTGTACACCTCCACGCCCAGCTAGCAGGAACATTTTAACTTTTCTACAAGCAATCTGAAATTAATTCACATCTTTAGCAATCAAAATAAATGTAGACTAAACATCTGCTCGCTCTCTCTTCATAGGGAATTCTGACAGTGGATTAGTACTCACGGAGGTTTGCTTTAAACTTGGAACTATTCAGGGCTAAAAAAAAAAAAAAAGTTGTAGAATTTGGCGAGGTGTGGAGGCGCATACCTGTAATCCCAGCGGCTTGGGAGGCTGAGACAGGAGGGTCTTGAATTCAAAGCCAGCCTCAGCAAAAGCGAGGTACTAAGCAACTCAGTGAGACCCTGTCTCTCAATAAAACACAAAACAGGGCTGGGGATGTGGCTGAGTGGTTGGGTGTCCCCGAGTTTAATCCCTGGTACCCCTACCCCACAAAAAGTTGTAGAATTCTTTTTACTCAAATGTCTAACATTTAGTTGACCTTTTCCTTGTAACTATGGCTAGTTCAGATCTCTACATCTCATATTATTAATTTGCTATAGAGCTAGATAGAAAAAAAATGAAAGTAACTTGATAAAAAACTTGCAGGCCAACAAAGATTCCATAACATATCCATCATCACACATTTCTGTTCCACCATGATAAAGACCCAGGTTCTCAGATTTACACCTCCTGCTCTTTACATGCCGTGTGGCCTCGGCTACTGTTAACACATCAATTTAAAAACATCACATTTCTTACACACAAAAAATCGAGACAAGACAATTCTATGTACCTCAGAAATGTAGAGGTCTGCCTGTTTGAGCAGCTCTCCAATGATAAGGACATTGGAAGTGGTGCCATCCCCAGTGATGTCATCCTGGGCTGTTGCTACTTTTGCTATCAAGGAGGCTGTTGGGTGCTGAATTTGCTGAAAAGGGAAAAAAATTTACTTACATTACATTATTAAAATAAATATACCTTGAAACCAATCTGTTGAGAACCTCTTTAAATGCTGTCTACCTTAATTGCCCAAATATTTGGCTAATAGTCCTTTAATAAAAAACTTGCAAATTGCTATTTTGCATATCAATCTATGATGATCAAAATATATGGAGACACATGCACTGGCAATCCCAGCTATTTGGGCAAGTGAGCCAGGAGCATTTTAAGTTCAAGGTCATCTGTGGTAACTTAGTGGGACCCTCTTAGCAAAGATCTTCCAAGGAATCACTGTGGGAAAGAAAACAGGAAAATCACCATGCCTCTGAAGCCACTCCAGATTCTTAATCACAAAGGATAGAACCAAATCTCCTGCACCGCCTTTGGTTTTTCTATGCTCCTTTAACCTTGAACAGCTCTCAGCTTTCTCTATCTTTGGGGATACATTTTTTTTTTTTTTTTTGGCAATACTGGGGATTGAATCCACGGGTGCTCCACCACTGAGTTACACTCCTACACTCCCAGCCCTTCTTATTTTGAGACAGGGTCTTGTTAAATTGCCCAGGCTGGTCTTAAACTTGTAATCCTCCCACCTCAGCCTCCCAAGTTCCTGGGATCACAGAGCCTGGCTGATTAAGAATCTAGGCCATGAGGCTGGGGTTGTGGCTCAGTGGTAGAGCGCTTGCCTAGCATGTGCAAGGCTCTGGGTTCGATTCTCAGCACCACATAAAAATAAATAAATGAAATAAAGGCATTGTGTCCAACTACACCTTTAAAAAAAAAAAAAAAGAATATAGGCCTTGACAGACTCTATAAAGACTATCGGCTGGGCCTGGTGATCACATGTCTGTAATTCCAGCTACTGGGGATGTAGCTCAGTGGCAGAGCACCCCTGGGTTCAATCTCAAGTTCGTCCACATATACAATCTTGCACACTGCTTCACCTAAACTGGCTGCTAAGCACTCTGGCAGGGATGCTAGCAGGTGATGATGCTCACCTGTCAGGCCACAGCAATAGATTATAGACAGATCTTTCCATTGCACCTGGGGAACATCAGCAGCCAGCCAGGAAAGACACATGTGAAACACACACAGACTATACGTAAAGCTGCATCAGTGCCAGGCCTGGTGGCACACACCTATAATCCTAGTGGCTTGGAAAGCTGAGGCAGGATTAAGAGTTCAAAGCCAGCCTCAGTAACTTAGAGAGGACCTAATAAACTTAACAAAACCTGGCTCTAAATAAAATATTAAAAAAGGGCTGAGATGTGGCTCAGTGGTTAAGTGATTCCGGTTACCAGGGGGGGGAAAAAAAAGGGAAAAAAGGAAAGCTGCTAAGAGGTATAACAATGACATTTTGGCCATGTGGGAGGATGATGGACCCATTAAGAGCACTTTTAAGGGCTGGAGGTATAGCTCAATGTGAGAGTGCACACTTAGGATGGACAATGGGCTCAATTCCCATCACCCAGATAAAAAGAACATTTCAGAAATGAGATGCCATGTCTGTGAATCACTTCCAATCAACCAATCAAGAGGGAAAAATTAAGCAAAAAATGTAAAAAAAAAAAAAAAAACCTCTAAAGGGCATGTGAATGTTTCATTTTCTCAACTTTTCTGTTCATTTATAATTTTTCAAGGAAAAAAAAAGAAAAATCTATGGCAACTGAAGAGGTGCAGGCAAAGGGGACTTCTGAGGTGGCAGTTTCTTTCTTAGTTTCTTCCTGTGTTCAGTTTGTTAATTATTATTAAACAATAAATGTTTAATAGGCTTTTCTGTAGTTGTCATATTTTACAATAAAAACCAACCAAAACTAAAAAGTCAAAGATATAGCTTTTCTGACAACAAATTTAAATTATGACTTTGCTTGTCATTAGCAAAGGCTACCATTTAGCCATGCAAAAACAAACATTTCATAATCCTGTGATTATTAAAATACAATAAAACTTTGTAATGTTAAATAAAAATAATTAAAAGTAAAAACTATAACTAGTAGTTTAGTCCTTACTGAAAGTACTTAAAAAACATCTGGATATTGATGCCATGGATACTACTATCAAAACTCCAAATTCTATTCTCAACTTAAATTAGAGAAAAGAAATGGGGGTGGGGGTTGTGGCTCAGTGGTAGAGCACTTTCCTGGCAAGTGTGAGGCACTGGGTTCAATTGTCAGCACCACATCTAAATAAACAAATAAAGGTCCATCAACGACAAAAAAATAAATAAAATTTAAAAAAAAAAGAGAAAGAAATGTGTATGAGCTGCTAAGTTTTGGAAGAACAGATATGAGCAAGAATTTTGAGACAGGGGCTCCCTAGAATGCCCAGGCTGGCTTCCTGTCCCAGCCTTGCAAATTGGTGGGATTACAAGTGTGTGCCACAGTGCCTTTCAATAACACTGATCCCTGGGACTTAAGGTGGAGAGATATATCAAAGGTATTCCTGGTTTTTTTTTTTTTTTTTTTTTTGGTATGCTGTTGGGGAAGGAACCAGAGCCTCGCACATGCTAGGCAAGCAATCAGTCTGTGAGCTACGACCCCAGTCGAAAGGATTTTAATTGAAAACAGAAAATCTTGCTGTTTTGCCCACTGGTTGTGTCAACCGCCCCTAATTTCTCAAATGACAATGAACTAAAACAATCCTTTAACCCAGACAACAAGTGGCAGGAGAGCCGCCCCTAATTTCTCAAATGACAATGAACTAAAACAATCCTTTAACCCAGACAACAAGTGGCAGGAGAGCCGGTATTCAGGCTCAGGACCCCTGGCTGCACAGCACTGGCACTCCGACCCGACCACGCCGCTCTCCTGGTCCTCCCCCGTCTGCAGGACTACCTGCGGGGAATCACGGACACGATTTTCTCCCATCCCTCCTGTAAGGCAAACGAGCTGGGGCAGACTACGACCTAACCAGCACGGGAACCTCACCATTTCGTGCAGCAGCACGTTGCCGTCCTTGGTGAGCTTGATGTCCCCAGCGCCCGACACCAGCCTGTTCGGGGGGGGGGGGGGCAGAAACGCCAAGTCAGCTTGCGCCTTGTCAAGGAACCCAGCCGGCCTCCCGCGCCAGCCCCCGGGGCCCGGGGCGCCTCCCCACCCCTCCAAAGCCAGTGGAGGCCGGAGAGGGGCGGCGCAGCGAGCGCACACCGACGGAAACGCGACCCCGCCAGTCCGCCTTACATCTTCATGGTGCCCTTGGGCCCCAGGTTGGTCCGCAGCACGTCCTGCAGCCCGCGGGCCGCGCTGATGTTCACCGCCAGCGCCGCCTGCGCGCGGGCCACCTCGGCCTTCGGGTTCAGAGTCTTCACGGCCGCCATAGCTGTCCGGAGAAAGGAACAGGGGCGAGCACGGAACCGCAGCCGGCAGCGCGTGGCCAGGCGGCGCTCTCAGCAGCTTCTGGAAAAGTCGGGCGGGCCGGATCCTCCCCCAGCGTGCGCACGCACCGCCGCCGTTGCCCGTGATCCCGCCCCCAGAGTGCCACGCGCCTCCGCCATTGGTCCATAGGCCGATCGGCGTGCGTTCATTGGTCGTGGCCGCTAGGCGCCTGCGGACCCGCCCTCGCGCACTTGCCCAACGCTGTTGCTTTCGGGAGGAGCTGGTCTACTCGGGGCCTGTGCTCTGGGCCTGTGGCGGTTCAGGGAGTGCGGGGGCCGGGGTCCACCTGGGCGGACCCGAGACCTGAGAACGTAGGCGGGCAGCGCGTGCAGGTTCCGCGCGCGGACGGGCGTGGCTGGGCCTCTGCGCGACCCGGGCTCCTTCTCCCCGCGGCGGCGGGATTGGATTCCCAAAACCAGGGTGGGGTTGGGGGACGAGATGACATGAGCCAGTCTTCTTGCTGACACTTAAGTTGTTCTCAGTCCTCTGTTATATAGGCTGCAGCGAGTATGCCAGTATATGATGCTTTTAGGTGGGTTTGTGAAATTAGAATAACAAAGCCATCTATATAAGTTTGAGAAATAATGCTGCAAAGTAGGAGGCTAGTGATTGGTTCTGCAGACAGTTCATCTACTGGTGAAGATGCACAGGGAGACAAACTTAACCCGTGAGCAGAGGTGAAGACTGGAATTTCAGGCATCTTCTGACAGGTAGAGAAAGGGGAGTTGGAAAGACCTGCTTTCTGGAGTTTCAAATTTTAAGTTCATTTATTATGTGCTTTAATCATTCTAGTCTCAGTTGTCAGAGTTTGAATCAAATTATGTTTATGGTTAATTGGTTATTTTTCATTATGTGGTGCAAAATACAGTAATAAGGACCGTTTCTTGTATGCTAACTTTAAAATATATATATATATATATTTTTTAGTTATACGTGGACACAATATCTTTGTTTTATTTTTAAGTGGTGCTGAGGATCAAACCCAGTGCATCACATGTGTGAAGCAAGCTCTCTGCCACTGAACCACAACCTCAGCCCATGTGCTGACATTTTTAAAGAAGGGAGAATTTTAAACTGGGTGTGGTGGCTTAGACTGTAATTCTAGAAATTGGGAAGGCTGAGACAAGAGGATTGCAAGTTCTAGACCAGCCTGAACACTGTGAGACTTTGTCTCAAAAAAAGGAGGTAGGGCTGGGGCTTTAGCTCAGTGGTAAAAGCACCCCTGGGCTCAATTAAGATTATCCCATGTGCGGGTGCGCGCGCGCACACACACACACACACACACACACACACACACACACACCAAAAAAAATTTTTAGAATGCCTTTTGGAAGTTTTCAATTAAACCTTAAACTGCCTTATGGGAACAGATCCATTCAGTTCATGACTGAAGAAATTGAAGTGGCAGCAGGTGTTCAGACATTTGATTCAGGATAATTTCAATGAAAAGTAAAAATTTAAGGCAATAATCCTAATGAGACAGTGTAATATAGTAAAAAGAATTCTAAGATCAGTTTGAGTCTGAATTCTATTTCTTTTCCAACATACTTATTTTAAAACTTAATTTTCTATGTTTTTGTTTTGTTTTGTTTCGATGCTGGGGATTGAATCCAGGGCCTTGTGCATGCAAGGCAAGCATTCTATCAACTGAGCTATATCCCCAGCCCTAAAACTTAATTTTCTAAACTATGAAAGTAGGTATAAGTAACCTTGGAAAATTGAGATTGACTATGTAGCATGCTTTATATTGTGCTAGATACAGAAGGTACTCAGCAAATTGCTACTTCTGTATTCAAGTAGCCTTGTGATTAACTATGAATCTTTCCTAGTACCTTCACATGCAGTCTTTTTTAAAATATATTTTTAGTTGTAGTCAGACTCAATACCTTTATTTTATTTATTTTTATGTGATGTTGAGGATGGAACCCAGCGCCTCCCACAGGCTAGGCTAGCGCTCTACTGCTGAGCCACAACCCCAGCCCCTCACATGCAGTCTTATTTGATTCTAACAAGAATCCTTTGAGGTTGATGGATCAGTTATTATGAAACAAATTGCAAAGATGATTAAAAGGTTAAATGACCAGTTCAAGATCACATTGTGTTGTATTAGGGGAGAGCTAAACACTGCTTCCACCCTTGATTCCTCCCTTTGTCTCAATCCCCTTGTTCAAATACTCCCTGAATTTTTCACTTTTAGTTCTTAGACATTGCCTCTGTCTACTTTTTCTTGTCCTTATTTCCAGTATTCAAATCTAGGCCATGATCATGTTTACTGCTTCTCCTACAGGATGCAGTGGACCAGGAACCAAGGGGTAGAAATGGGAGTGACCCCTAGTGATCCAAGGGCAAAAGTTTTGCCACCTGTGCCCGTGACCTTATTCTCTGCTTGCCTAGAGGTCTTAGTTCCAAAAGAAGGAGTGATTCTACTAGGAAACATGGTAATTTTCATCTGAACTGGAAATTAAGACTGCCATTTAGCCACTTTGAGCTCTATGCCCCTGAAGAATAGACAGGAGAGTTACTGTGCTGGCTAGGGTGTATTATCCTAACTACTGAGGGCAGATTGTACTGATACTCCATCATGGAGGTAAAACAAGGGTACATCTAAAACACAGGTGATTCCTTAGGACATCCCTCAGTATGTTTTATTATACTCTGGTTGGTCTGTGGAAATATGACCCAATGCAGGCAGAACTTCTAATGGCCCCCACCCTTCAGGAAGAAAGTTTTAGGTCACCACTTCAAATGAAGAACCACAGTCAGATAAGGTGCTTGCTGAGGGCAAAAAGAATATGGAATGGGCCGTGGAATAAATTGGTTATAAATGTATCAATCACTGCATGACCAGATACGGAAATGATATCTATATTTGTCATGATTAATTCTTCTTATTGTTACAGTTGGATCTAGACTGTCCCCCCAAAGTCTCATGTTTTGAAAGTATGGTCCCCAATGCATCCAGGTTCAGAGTTGGGACTTTTAGGCAATGATTGATCATGTGGGTTCTGACCTCATCTGTGGATTAATCCACCTATTAATCCATTGATTAATGGAGAGCTGAATGGACTACTTAGAGGTAGAACTTAGTTGTGGGAAGTAGGTCACTGGAGGTGAGCCCTGGAAGGGCTCCAGGCCCTTCCCCTCTCTGCTTCCAGGCTGCCATGACCTGGGAAGCTTTCTTCCACCACTCCCTCTGCCCTGATGTTCTGCCTTGCTTCAGGCCCCACACAATGGACCTGCCCACCAGGGACTGAATCCTGTAAAACTGTGAGGCAAAATAAATCTTCACAACTGTAAGTTGTTTTTTTTCAGGTATTTGTCACAGTAGTGAAAGGTTAACACACTTGTTTTGTCATGAATGTGTTTGTTAACTTTTCATTACTATGACAAAAACATCTAAGAAAATAATTTATGGGGCTGGGGATGTGGCTCAAGTGGTAGCACGCTCGCCTGGCATGCGTGCGGCCCGGGTTCCATCCTCAGCACCACATACAAACAAAGATGTTGTGTCCGCCAATACTTGAAAAATAAATATCAAAAAATTAAAAAAAAATAAATAAATAATTTAGGAGAAAAGGTTTATTTTGGTTAGTTTTAGAGGTTTCAGTCCATGACTGTTTGACTTGTTGCTTTTGGTCCCATGGCAAGGTCCATGTGATAGGACCTTGACCTTATGTGGGCAGTGTGTGGTGGAGCAAAGCTGCTCACCTCAGGGCAGCCAGGAAGTGAGAGAGAGAGAGGAGGGGCTGGGTCTCAGTAACTTCTTCAAGGTAATGTCCCCCACCCCTGGTGCCAGTGATCTAATTTCCTTCCACTAGGGTCCACCTCCTAAATGTTAGGCAAACTCTTAAATGTTCTACCCCTTTCCAGTAGCACCACCAGTCTGGCAACCAAGCCTTTAAAAACACATGGTCTTTGGGGGACATTTTGTAAAGGTCAGGCGAACGTCGGAGGAAAAGACCACCAAGAGACTGTCTCATGCAACAGCAAAGGGTTTATTGGGGGTCCAGCATGCTGGGGCTCCAAGCCTACCTCGAAGAGGTAAAGAGCAAAGAGCCCCAAGAACAGCTTGAGCAGAGCTTATATACATTCTTTGAAAAGGGCAGGGACTTCACATACAACATAACAAATCACCTAGGTAGGGGTGATTGGTCAGTACAAAAGGGGTATTCATTTGAACTGATTGGTTTAAGCCAAGAGGGGTGTACATGCTGAATTACATGGTTTCCCAACTTGTTATCAACCACCATAAACTGCTGGGAGGGTTATCTGGCATTCCAGGTATTTCCCTGTCTCATGCTGATTGGTGGCTGCTAGGGGGCTGCTATGGATCCCCACCTAGCCTGACTGAGTCAGGGACACCTAGCACAACAGATCTCTCCTGTAGATAAACAACTTAGCAGGGTGGGAATGTGCCTAGGAGTGCTCTGTGGGTTTTTCCAAGGACAAAGGTCATGTCCCTTCCTTGGACAGGCTTTGCTCTGAGGTAGAGGCTGGTTTTTCAATTTAAGTTCCAAACTGTAGCATACTTCCTCACTTCCAAAGGCTGATATCCATCTCACAATACAAAATGTGTTTAGCTCATCTCCGAGAGTCTTCAAAGTATGAACGTCCTAGCATTGCTCAAAAGTCCGAGTCCAAAGTCTCCTGGTAGACTCAAGGCAAACCCTTCATTGTGTACCTGTAAAAATCAAGACGTAAGTTACATACTTCCAAGATTCAATGATAGGACAGGGTATACATTTCCATTCCCAAAAGGAGGGATGAGGCAAAAAAAGGGAAGGGTCAGACCAAAGCAAGACTAAAACTCAGCAGGACAATGTTAATTTCTGTAGCTCCGTGTGTGTTTGGTATCTGGGACACATGATGTGATGTGAGCTCCAAAGGACTTGGGCAGCTCTGTCCCTAGGCCTTGCTAATTGCAGCCAAGATGGCCATTTTGGGGGCTAGCTCTGCCTACTCCTTGCAACTTCTCTTGGCAGGCATTCTACCTTCTTGGCATCCATAACTCCCTGGGATCTCCATTGCAGCTCTGGCCTCACTCTTGTGGTTTCCTACATTGCCCTTTCAGGGGCTGCTGGCAGAAACTCAGATCCTGCCTCACACTGCCTGGTCTATCAGGCTTTCCTTTGAAATCCTGGTGGATGCTTCTAGCATCATGTGGACCAAGCCAAGGTCTGCTGCTGACCTGACTCATTCCAGAGACCCCTTGAACCATGGCTGTAGCAGCCTGAGCACCTTGAAAGCTGATCACAGGAAACAATCCTGGGGAAGCGATTTGCTAGGCCACTCTGTATGAGTAGTGTCCTGGGGCTCACTCCTTAAATTAATGCCTTTGAAATGATTCCACTTTTACCTCCCTGACTTTGCAGTGAGTCTGGTCTTGCCTGTTCCTGAGATGCCCTCAAGGCATCTTTCCTGTTATCCCAGTGCAAAGTACTTGGCTTCTTTATAATCTTGCTAATCTCTTTAGCAATTCCACCCTCTTTGGTCACAACTAGTCACACTTTTTTTTTTTAACCAAATTGCAAATTTTCTAAAATTTTCTTTTGACTTTTTTTTTCCCCAATCCTCACTTTAAATCTGGCTGAAAACATCCAGTAATACCCATTCCATAGCCTGAATGCTGTATTGTCTAGAGATTTTCTCTGAAGATAAACTAGTCTGTCACCTTTAAACTCAGCCTCCCACGAAGTCTCAGGGCATGGAC